ATATTTCGATTTTCCAGTTGTTCATCCTCCTCAAACTCTGTGTTACTTCCTGATCAGTACCATGTCATCTATATAAAGAACCCACGGAAACTGTCGTTTGAGGTTTTCCGTTATAGCGCATATGACTACGATGAAGAGTAGAGGAGAGAGCACCTATCTTGATGTACTTCATGCGCAGTGGTTTTGACTGTCCTGCCGCAGTTTGCATCTGGCTTGTGACCCCATGATAGATCACCTTCATCCAATGGCTTTATACTTTTGGTACATGTGCTTTCGCAGTGCTTACCTATGACATCGTGTGTACCTCGTTGAAAGCTAACTAGCCACGAAAGCCACAGGTATAGCTAGCTCTTTCTGTTTCTCTATACTTCTCCATCAATAGTCACACGGTATGCATCGCGATACGCCTTTTTGCTCCATAGCGAAGTGGTTGTGCTTTTTGACAGTCATTGGCCTTGCTCTTAACTTTGATTTGTTGATTGAAGAGGCCTACAAGCCAAGAGAGATTGAGCCGCCCCATTCTCTCAAAATTCGCTTAGGAGATCGCTCGAACCTGTAGCATCAACTTCCTTTTCTTTGCTATCGTAAGCTACGATTCCTCCGCTGCAAAGATGGCACATCTTTTCAAAGGACCACTTGAGGCACGACTTTGAACGATCACAAAAGTGTTTCGCACTGTTAGCCGTTGGGATGGCTCTGGTTGATGGTAGGCTACATTCCTTCAAAAGTACGTTCGACACCTCCAGCTCCTCTTCTTCTTAACATCTCCACAGCCTTTTGATATGGTAAAAGTGTTCCATGGCTATTGCAAACTACAATCTCGTGGTTCAGTAGATTTCTCAGTTTCGCTCACAAGATTACTTTCTGAGAAGCTCTTATACTTTTGCTTGTTTTCTGTGGATCATTTTCCAGTTTAGATTTATGCTATTGCTTGTTGCGTACCTTTTTCTTTATCACCCCTGAAACTTGTCGCTAAGCCCAAATTTCTCTATATCGTATCATTATTGAAATATGTACGGAAATTTTAATTCCCATTCTGGTGTACTACACTTCAAAGCATTTCCTTTGAGCAGTTGTATACTGTATTGGCAATTTGTAATGAGTAATTAGGATAGGTAATTTAATATAATTTTTTCCTCAATGATGTCTCAACTATTCCAGTTTCGATGAACTTATATCACCTCCACTTTCGAGGAAATCAATCTATTTCGCAAAAACGATTTAAACAGGTTAAAAAGGCTTAAAATCTCAGAGAACAAAGTTTTGAGTGTACATGAAGAATAACGATAGCTAGCAGCAGTCGCGGCGCATATATCCATCAATTATACGCAGAGTTCCCCGCCCTTACACAGTGTAAGCGTGAGCGACAGCTACAGTGACCCTTTCAACAAGGCTTCGCCACTTCGTCCCTCTTAAATAAGATGTAACTGCTGATGATGCTATTGAACTTGACACTTCCAAAATATTTTCGGAATGTTATAGACTTTTACCATCGCCACTTTTTCACAAAGTCGCTATGTAATTCGAAGTCATGTGTTTCACTCTCCCAAGTTTTGGAATTATTAGCGCTTTGTGGTTTTGTTAGGATTATACGAGCAGCAAGTAGTATAGTGCAAGCAGCTAACGGAATCAATATAAAAAGACTTAGATTTCAAAGCAAGTTGGGGCTTCTGCAATTTTTGTGACAAAAATTGTCTATATTTGAGATTTAGAATGAAATCGTTCCAGAAGCTCCCTTGTAACAAATTTTTCTTGAATATGGTTATAAAAATTATCAGATCAACCTAACTCATTAAAAAAGCTCTAAGAACATTGCACTTCAGATATTGAACTCTACGCGAAGTATACTAAATTATATGAATAAAATTTTGCGAAAATCTTCTATGGCTATTCTTTGTAAATTTCATACCTACATCTGTAAGCCAGTTATTTATTTCGCTAGTATTTCCACAAGATGCGCAAGTATATAAAGTTGAAGCTTTTGTGATTATTAGCGCCCGTTGCGAAAGACGTGTTGTGAAGTCTGTCTCGGCTGAAGATGTGGCTTGAACCCACAGCTTAAGACATTTTAGAAAATGGGAGGCTTATTTTTACGACATCCTTTCTTTTCAAATTCGTCTTACCTAAATGCTGTGAGCAAGTGGATCAATGCAAGAACCAAACATGCGTATCTTCAAGAAAAAAACCTTTCCCCATACCAAATAGCAGCGTATTCTGGTTCCAATGAGCAGTCGGTATGTCGAATGGCGCGATTTCCGGTTATACTAGAGGCACATCCGCACTAGGCTCTATTTAACGTGGGAAATTCATATTGTAGCTGTGATATTTTCAATAAAGAATGTACGCTGTTTACTTTGTTTCAAAAACATAATGGTTTAGAACCACCCAAAGATACGAACCTGTAAGCAGGAAATTTTGAAAAAACAGGTCGGACTTTTTGTCTGTAGCTTCAAAATTCAGTATTAAGCTTTCGCAATGTTTATAAATCATCTAGCTGATTTAAAGTCAAATTCCCTTTGTTTTGTTTTGAAAAGCTCAAAGGTCATGAGCTTTTTTGTATCATTGGCATGGATATAAAATGACATCCAGGACAAATCGCGCCCTCTACCGCCTCCCTGGAATTCTCCCGCACTATTTGACCGTGTGCAGTATGAAAGCGAAGCTATATGTGCACTGTACGATAACAGTAACGACTGATGCCAAGCTTTCACTTTTGGTCGCCATCCAAAGTTCTATAGTATACCGTCAATATTATTTAACGCTAACATACCGCCTACAAGTAGTATGTAATTTATCATAAAAAAGACCAAGATTATCTTTCAGTCAACCCATAATATATCTCTCTTTTTTTGTCTTTCTCTCTTTTTCTGATAATTTAGCGTGTAAATCCTCATCAATATAATAAAATCTTACTTTTTCGTTAAATTCGTATCCCGCATTGCATCGACACTTATAACTGCCGGGCAAATTGATGCACATCAATCCACCACACACAGACTTGTCCAAGCATTCGTTGATATCTAAATATTATTGTCTGATATTTGTCGCGATTTTTTCACTGGTTTTACCTACCGTCACAAAAGCCGGTGTCTTTGTTAACGGCATATCCAGCGGAACATATGTTTCCTTTCTGCTGACAACGAAAAGAACCAGCAGTATTAACGCACTCTTCCCCTGGTCCACACCTATCTCCGGTCGCGCATTCGTCAACATCTAAAAAAGCTATTGAGATTGCGCTAGAAACTTCCAGCTTTGATTTGAATTTTATCCTTTTAAGCAGAGCAACCCCTAAATGCCTGTTTAACGTTATTCTGTACATGTGTTTATTATTGCTATAGTTGTATGCCAAAATCCCACGTTTATTGTTTTGTAACGAGCTGGTTGATAATTGTTAGCAAAGAGTTTGTTTTTCGTTGGAATTTTTTCAAAATAAAGATTTTCAAAGCAGCCTTTGAAACTGATTTCATTTGCGACATATCCGCATAGCATTTCAAATTTCAACGTCCCAAAAATGTTCAAGGTTCCTATGCATTTTGTAAAATTTGACTACACGGCTTTGTTGTAGGCTTGGCAAATTAAAGAGTAAGTATAATTAAAATAGCAATGGAATAGGGATTGGGATTTTCCGTTGTGTTTCACACTTATAATATTGGCAAATACCAAACCTTCTTAGAAAATTGAATTTAGCAAAACTGTAACGCAACACTCGCAACACTTGTGTGTTGCATAAACTTCGTTCCAGATGTTAACGGTTCTTTCTTCTATCTTCTTCTTTTATCATTTATCCCTCTCGTCCTCTGTCTTCGTTGTATAGCCTAATGCTTGCTAACTTTGCTTCTCCAACAGAAAAAAAAACGAAAATCCAATTTCACACTTTTTGATCTGGTCATTTGATACAATTACAGTATTACACTCTTTGGACAGCTGCCAAATGTCCTCCTTTGAAAATAAACTGAGAGAAAGAGAGTCTGCCCTTTTCTAAGCAACATTTAACTTTCTTCACTACATATAAGAGCACAAGGTCCATGAAATCCATAATAACAAACACATAACTCGCACCTAAAAACGCCACCGAGAGCAGGACCAATTCCTAGCTCGTCGCGGATGCAAAGCGATTTTTTTAATCAGGGATGGTCGAGGTTGATTCTACATCCGATAGTGCTTTCAGGGCGCCACTTATCTGTTTTCTTTTGGGTTTTAGCAGGGCAGAAGCATAAAAAGAAACAAAGGCTTCAGCAGAAGTGATTAGTGTTTACCGTGACACATTCCGTTCGAGGGATAATATCCAAGTGGGCAATCAATACTTGTACATTCTCCTGTTTGCGGATTTTGCAGCTCTCCTTCTCCACACTTCTTTGGGTCACACCTCAAGAAGCATTTTCTTCATGTTATCGGTGTTTATATCATAATAACTTTTAAAAGAGAAT